GCCACTGTGACTCCCCAGTGTAACCATAAACAAAATTTTTTTCTAAGTTGGCCTAATACAAACACACTGGTAACCCGTCCCAGCCTCACGAGCCCAGCCAGTATGTCTATTTAATACACCAGGATAGGTCACGTCAATTGTATGCATCAATAGAGAAAGGTTATGTAATGATGTATGACGTCAATAGAAAAAGGTTATGTCACGTGGGATGACATAATAGAAAGGGGTATATCCTGATTTTAAAATTTAAACAAACACATCGCCTGGCTACAGTAGATCTTTAATATTAATAATTACTGATATACATTTAAACTGGCTGCACGTGAGTAGTATACTAAATTGTAATGTAGTATAAATTAATGTAATGTGTTGTGGTTTGAAGTACAGGGACTGTATTCAATGGTTTTCTAAAACGTAAGTAAAAATACTTATAATCCTTTAGTGGCATTTAGCGATTGAACACATTAAAAACACAACACAGTTTATATGGAAATACAATCACTGGTTTATAGGCATAACACGACGTTTCGACAAGTATTCTCTTATCGTTATCTTGTGCTTGATAAATGAAATGAAATGAAATGGAGTTTAACGTCCTACTGTTCTGCTCCTAACCTGGGCTAATGAAGGCGGGCATACGCCATACAGTGTGTTATGAGGGAAATTTTGCCCGGACAGCGGCACTACGGCCTACTCTTATATCGAATTCAAACTGCCAAGGGATCTTTCACGTGCACGCCAATGTGTACACGAGACCTCGGTTTTTCGTCCCATCTGAACGACTAGACAGCTTTCCTTGTCAGCCCCTCCGTCCTGCATCACTGACAAGGGAGAACCCACCGGAAAATCTGGATGAACTTTCTCGGCCAATGCAGGGATCGAACAACCGACCTCCAGGCTAGCAAGCTAGCGCCTTACCCACTTAGCCACGTGATCCCCTTGTGCTTGATAAAGATAAGAGAATACTTGTCGAAACGTCGTGCTTTGCCTATAAAAACCAGTGATTGTATTTCCATATAAACTGTGTTGTGTTTCTAAAAATACTTAATTTTTCAACTTAATTGACTGTATTACCTTAAATCGGTATTCAAAGGTTGTATTTTACATATACTTGGCTATGTGAAAAACTTAACTACACACTTAAATTATGGAATACTCACATTCGCCAAATAGCATGAATTTTTATCTTATGGCATACCCTCCACTGCCAAAAATAACGAATTTCTAACACCGCAAGCAAGTTATGCCCCCTTAAGAGCATCACTATACTTATTAAAATCTTAGTTTACATTACTAGGAAAATGTTTGTCGAAATATTATATTGTAACGCATGAAAAAAGTTTGATTACAATATATGATAAATAATGATAGTGTGCATCCTTTGCCAGATCGGCTGTTTTCGTAGCTTTTCAACAAAAAAAACCAAAAAAACAAATCTATTTCAATAGATTAGAATAAATAGTGGTAGTATATTAGCAATACACAAGGACCTTTGCATTCTAAGTTAAACTGGACAAATCATTCAGTGTTTTTTTTATAAATCTACCATTTGAGAAATTCATAGACATTGTGTAAGTACCTACATTTTAGATTTTCAGAGGCCTGGCGTTGACGGTACAATCTGTGTACAAAAGATGTACGTTACATTATTTTTACCCGAATAAATACTACCGGTTATGTGTATATGGGAATGAGTTGTAAAAAAATAAATCATGCCTTGCTTCTAGCAGTAGTATAAATAATTTCTGAAGCCATGTCATGACAAATGAATTTAACGCATTAAACTTTATTATATGACAGTCGTGGAAACATGATTAAGCAACACGAACATGATATCCTTGACCATCACCGGTGGTAGTAACCTTATATTCTATAATAGCACTACAACATCAAAGCTGACGATGAAAAAACAATTTGAGGCCAGCTTTGCTCGGCGAGATTGTCTTTGTTTCAATCTGAATCCCCCCCCCCCCAACTTTTTAAATCGTCATTACAGCGTGCACTCCGGTTAAAAAAAGTCATTATAATCTCACTTAACTTTAAGGTACCTCCCATAGGTCACTTAAAGTTAAGTGGATTTTTCTCACTTAAACTGGCCTTTGAATACCACTTAAAGACTAACACTTAAAAAGTTAAGGATACTTAACAGCGCCCTTGAATACCACTTACCCTTAACTTACAGGAAGTTGCGTATATTTAAGTGAAAGCTATGGTTAAGGGACTATCTTAGACTTAAGATATCCTTTGAATACGGGCCCAGATGTGACATCACCCCTTGATGTTAGCGTACCATTATTTCAAATAGGGGGGTTGTATGGCCGAATGGTTAGCACCTCTTCAACTACATTGCCTTATATTTATGGTTAGCATGCGTTGCATCATAAGGCCTATCATTGAATCAACTGGCGTGGTTTCGAATCCCCGGTTGTACGTGACAAGGATTAGGGTCGCCTGTCCAACCTCGCGGGTTTTCTCCGGGTCCTTCAGTTTCCTCCTACTGCCAAAGACCCGTACGCGCAAGCGAATTATTTAAATAAAATTAAACCATATGTTAGTCTCGAAATGACATAGTTTGTGTCGAGTGGACGTTAAACCCCATTTCTCTCTATATATTTCAAATAATGTACAGGCAACTTGCCTATCCTACATTTTTTATACTCGATGAAATATTTGACTCGCGTGACGTATTTCATTAAAAAGCACGTGTCTGATATAGCCCTCTGATTAAAGTCCTCCACCCTGGGTATCCCCAGTCGTCTCATTCCGTTCCACCCTACTAACCCCTGAGTTCAATTTATCTGCTCTTGATGACACAGCTATTTTTATCGACCAATCAAAAAAACGTTATATGAAAAGGAAGTTGGTGAAGGAAAGTAACTCATTTTGTTGCAACAAACAAGCCGTCATATTGTTATGAACGTAAGTGTAATGTTTAATTTTAATAATAGGAACGCAATTATGTAGTCTGATTCATACATGATTAGTTATTATCCATCAGAGAAAACATAAACATAACAAGTAAAGTATGAGGCCAAGACTAGTTTTTTAAAACTGTTTTTTGGATTGGTTCATAGAATCAAGCTACGATAAAGGGCAGATAATTTGAATACGCCAATACCCCAACGACAAACCCAGTGTGTAGAGGAGAACGAAACCACTGGTAGGGTGACCCACCATAAATAAATATCTCGACAATTACACCACAATATTTATGTATACACCAAGCCTTAGATCAGTTACGCACATTTATAGTCACTAAATAAACGGCCATGTTGTACTTAATAAGATATGACCATTTAACCATCAATAAATAATACACTGAAAGATTGTTATTAGTGTCGGCCATAATAGGTTACGTGCCCTTGTTTTGAAATTAGTCTCGCTTAACCAGTCTACCCATTGGCGTACGAGCAAGCTGACTTTTCGGGAAGACGGGTGAAGTGAAAAATTTTTTATTTCATCTACTTGGCAAAATAAAGTGCCCGAAATCTAATAAAACACTAGTTTTACGGGCTGGAATAGCAGTAAAACGCGTTTGCGGCCGTCAATTATTGCAATTTTTTTCTTGGGGGGGAGGGGGTGCTTACAAGGTCAGCTCCACTTCTTCGCCTCTCGAAGAAAACCGGCGCCGCTGTCTGTAAACTTGGAATTTTTTCGGGCATTTCTAGTTTTGCTTCCCTGTCACCGAGCCCTAATAAAACACGAATTTTACTTATCTTTTAATTGAATACCACGAATTTGTACTGAGTTGACTATGGATTAAAACATTTTGTCTGGAGCCACTCTACTTTGTGCGACATTTTTCGGGCATCGATTATTATTTGTGAATGCAGCTGCAACAGTCTGATTGAATGGTTGGAATTCAAAATGGGATTTAGGTTACAAAACCATTGGATACTGTTGGAGTTGCTTACACGGACTAGAATAGCAGAAAACGCATATGCGGTGGGTAAATTTTCAAAATTTTCTCCGGGAGGGTGAGGCCTCCATACTCCGCGACGATTGATTGGTTGTTTGGAATTATGGTCAGCCAGGTGGGCTATATTGAACCAAATTGAAGTTGCTAACGATCCCGTCTTCGTGGACTGTAAACGATTGATCTTTTGATTGGAATTCGAGTCAGCCATCTTAATTAGGCTATAATAGACCACTTTGTTCAAGGACTGAAATAGCAGGAAAACGTGTTTGCAGCCGTCAAATATTCCAAAATTTTCTTTGGGGGGGGGGGGGGGCATTTCAGGTTCTGCCCCCCTAACTGTCATCGAGTCCGCACGCCTATGAGTCTACCGACCATTCTACGTCTGATTGACAGGCCGCGATAACCAAGACTACTTTTTTTTTACGAAACATAACAGAAATCTGGAACAAGAAATTGAATTTAGAAACACGCACGTTAGGCAACTCAACAATTGTTTTAAGAACCCTGTAAAAGTAAAATGAAACTACTGATAGTATCATGTTCTTGCCTAACGCAAGTATTTCAGAGATATTATTTGTACTAAGCCAAAAGATGCCACTCCTAACGGTACAGTTAATGATAAAGCAATCTAAAAAATAAAACGAACGTAATTTCCAAAGCTGCTGTAATAACCAAAAAGCAAAATATTACTGCTATTAAGAATAGATTTTTTTACGGCTGTAATAGTTGATAGATGTGTAGAGAATTGAACGTGCGATGGCTATTTATAGTCTCATAGGCTCTACCGCTGAATATTATCATACTGCAGCGTGCACATTCGCCGTGTCGAGTCCAACTTTCTGTACGGAAAATTTTGGGTGCACGAGTCACCCTACCACTCGGGATACCGAGGATAAAGGTCCTCGCGCAATATCAATGTTACTTAATATCAAGCCCTGGACCATTAAACCACATATAAGTTGGGTATAGTATGAGTGTATATAACTTGGGTGTAGTGTAATATAGATTTTTGGTTTTGATTTTTTACGTTTTAATGGGTTTTATAATTCAGAACAATAATACATGCAAAGACGTAACAGTAAAAAAAAACACAGATAAATGGCTTACTGGATTGGCCGGAGAACAACAATTGTTATTTCATCCAAGGTATGGAACCAGAGCTGTTCAACCAAATAGACATTTAGTACAGACGCGGGGTGTGTAGATTTATCACACACAACACAAGCACTATGGGAAACCGTAAAAGTAAAGCACTGTTGAGATCATGTGAGAATGGCGATTATGATAGCATTGCGTCGTTACTGGAACGTGGAGCCAACGTTGAATATACCGATTCATATGGTTATACCCCACTGATTACAGCTATCAAGAATGGTGATCCAAAGTGTGTAGATTTGTTACTGAATAATGATTATTCCCCTGCCAATACAAAACACAAAGACAAGACTTTTAACACACCTTTAATGATGGCAGCAAATAATGTAGATATTGTCAGATTGTTGATAAACCGTGGGTGCCAATTAAATAAGACGAATCAATTTAAAGATTCTGCACTACACCTGGCTGTCCGATTTAAAAATGTTCAAGTGGTTGAATTACTTGTGAAAAGTGGTATTGATGTTACCCTTAAAAATAAGAATGGCCGTACCGCACTACACATGGCTTCCATTCTTAACTACGAGAGAATTGTCAACATATTGGTATCGAAACAGCAAAACAGTGCTGAAGTCCGAGATGCATTGGAGTCTGGTGAGAGGGCGCGGGTCAAAAAATTACTTAAACACGTCGCTTTCTTGGATGTTGGGTTACTAGAAATCCCTTACCGTAAAGAAGACTCACAAATGGTGGAGATTTTAATGGAGAGATATCTGAACCAGGATTCTCCCACTTGCAAATGTTTGTTATTTTATCCTGTGAAGTATCGTGACTTAAAGTGGACTAAAATATTAATCGAACGCGGTATTCCCTTCGATGCGTCGTTGCTAGATGTCGCTTATGCAAACAGAGATTTCGAAATGGTGGATATTTTAATCGGGAAGGGCCTAGAACATAATATTGATCAACGAAGTAGTAAACCAATGATAAATTATGCTGTGAAACATAGCGACCTAAAGCGGGTTAAAATATTACTTGAACACGACAGTCACTTCGATTCGTCGTTACTAAACGTCGCTTATATACACAAAGATTTCGAAATGGTGAATATTTTAATAGAGAAGGGCCTGGAACATAATATTGATCAGAAAAGTGATACACCAATGATATATTATTGTGCAGAGAATAATGACCATGATTGGGTTCAAAAGCTTTTGAATCATAAAAGCTACACCTATATTCTAAATCGTGTAGGGTCGCTAGATCCGACCGACAGTTCCAAAGCCACCGAAGCGGTTGTCGAGTATTTTCATGTTGATAGCAATTCAATCGGATTTACAACGTACGAATACTATCGATGCTTTTTTTAATCCAAAGTAGGACTTTAAAAGTCATTGAATACGGTCATACATCATATCAGTATGCTTGAAGGGCAATTTTGCTACGGCCCTTTTCTTTATTTCGAATTCCAAATGTCAATCGTCCTTTTACATTTACGCCACGGTGTCACATAGCAGGAACTTATCATTTGTCACGAATAACTCAGAACAATGTTACTCATCTTGCGGGGGTGGGATGACTAAATGGTTAGCACGTGCGCCCTGTATCATAAAGTCTGTTATTGAGTCGGCTGGCGTCGTTTCGGTTCCCCGGTTGTACGTGACAAGGAGTAGGGTCGCCTTTCCAACCTCGTGGGTTTTCTCCGGATCCTCCGGTTTCCTCCCACTGCTAAAGACCCCTACGCGCAAACGAATTATGGAAATAAAATTGAACCATATGTTAGTCCCGAAATGACCTAGTTTGTGTCGAGTGGACGTTAAACCCCATCTCTCTCTCATCTTGCGGTTAAGCAGAGTTTTACACGAAACAACCAATCGATACAACTGTTGGATGCAACGGTCGCGTCCGACCGACTCATCTGACAATAGGTCGGATGAACAGCTTGTTGCATGGATTGGATCAGTTCTATTCTTATCCGACCAACTCATGCAATAGCCAATCAAATTTTGTTATATTAGACAACGTCATATTTGTTTTTTGACTTCCCAACAACCTGAATTCCCGATTAAAGATGTCTTTTTCTTTCGCTTCGAGTACTTTGCACACTGTAGCCCGGTGGGTGCAAAACAATAAGACGTTAAACCCCATTTTACTTCTTTTCACACAAGTTATTATTCGAAGTCAGCCCTCAGATGTAACAAAACAGAGTTCGTCACACGATGAGAAAAGACCCCGAAAAACCCGAGCAGTCCAAGAAACTTTGGCCATTTGTTATACGGGGTTCACATTGGCGTGGACGTAAAAGATCACTTGACAGTTGGAATTCGATATAAGAGTAGGCTGTAGCGCCGCTGCCCGGGCAAAATTTTTCTCATAGCACACTGTATGGCGTATGCCCGTCTTCATTAGCCCAGTTTAGGAGCAGAACAGAAGGACGTTAAACTCATTTCATTGCATCTCATTTCGTACAGCAGTGTATGTTTGGCGAATAATTTCACGATTGTCAACTTTGGAACACTGTATCCACAGCTGAATTTCCAATGCCATATGTTGTTATCAAATTGTATATTAGAACACGAATGCTTTTAACAACCTCATTGCTTTATCGTGGATGTCAGTGACATTATAAACGTTGCAATCTTTCAAATTATTTTGAGGAATGCATCATATCAAGTATGCTGGAAAAATTTGATTGAAACAAAAACCAATTAGGCATTAGAACCACTACACTACTTAGTGGTAAACGAAGAAAAATACAAGGCATGCCGACAAGTTGAATTCCATATTTTAAAGTACCCTTTTCGTTTATCTGTGCAGCTCGTCAGAAATAATGCCATTGTGTTAATGTATTGTATATGGGTATAATTTGGTGGTTTATTCCCACGAAGGCGCAGTTATTGACCGTTACGGATTAAAGAAGGTCGTTTTCGACGTCTTCGTGGGAATCCAGCTGTCAGGGATTAAAATGGATTAAAAATGTAACAATGGAGTTATAGATTTTTATGATAAGAATTTAGACTTTCACAATCTCCAATGTGACTAATTAATTAACATGTCTGGAATATGACTTTAAGAAATAAAAACAAATTAATTTCATTTCACCAAATAAGACACCCTGTATAAATACTCGACTTAAGTTAATTCCCCTTCTTCGTGTCTACTTTTTATACGTCCACATTTTCATGTGGACGTATATTGTCGTCGCCCCTGTCCGTCCGTCCGTCCACAATTGTTTGTGAACAGTCTACAGGTCACAATTTTTATCCGATTTCAATGAAACTTGAAATATAGGTTTATCACCCTCAGATCTCGGTTCCTTTCGATATTGGCATCTATCGGACCATAACTTCATAGATTATGGCCCCTGATTGTACGAAAAATCACCTTTTTGGCTTGTGAACACTGTAGAGGTCACAATTTTTATCCGATTTTGTTGAAACTTGAAATGTAAGTTTATAACCCAAGGACCTTGGATCCTTTCAATATTCGCACATATCGGACCGTAACTTCTTGAATTATAGCCTCTGATTGTACGCAAAAACGCGTTTTTGGGCTTGTGGACCCTATAGAGGTCATAATTTTTATCCGATTTAAAAAACCGTATTATTATATCACCGTTGACGGTTGAGTTCGAATTTCGTGAAAATCGGCTCAAAACTGACAGGCAAAATGGCCGCCGTTCGTTCTCAAATAGCGTAAAAATATGGTATATCAAGGTTGTGGACCCTATAGAGGTCATAATATTTATCCGATTTAAAAAACCCTATAGAGGTCATAACTTTTATCTGATTTAAAAAAATCATATTATTATATCACCGTTACACCCTAAGGACGACTGAGTTTGAATTTCGTGAAAATCGGCCAAAAACTGACAGACAAAATGGCCGCCCTTCGTTCTCAAATAGCGTAAAATATGGTATATCAAGGTTGTCGACCCTATAGAGGTCACAATTTGTATCCGATTTTGTTGAAACTTGAAATGTAAGTTTATAACACAAAAATCTCGGTTCCTTTCAATATTCGCGCATATCGGACCGTAACTTCGTGAATTATGGCCCCTAATTGTACGCAAAAACGCGTTTTTTGGCTTGTGGACCCTATAGAAGTCATAATTTTTATCCGATTTAAAAAACCGTCATAATATATAATCGTTACACCCTAAGGGCGGCTGAGTTTGAATTTCGTGAAAATCAGCCCAAAACTGACAGACAAAATGGCCGCCCTTCGTTCTCAAATAGCGCAAAAATATGGTATATCAAGGTTGTGGACCCTATAGAGGTCACAATTTTTATCCGATTTTGTTGAAACTTGAAATGTAAGTTTATAACACAAAGATCTCGGTTCCTTTTGATATTCGCGCATATCGGACCGTAACTTCATGAATTATGGCCCCTTATTGTATGACAAATCGCGTTTTTAGCTTGTGAACCATATAGAGGTCATAATTTTTATCCGATTTAAAAAAAAACGTTTTATTAAATCACCGTTAAACCCTAAGGACGGTTGAGTTCGAATTCTGTGAAAATCGGCCCAAAACTGACAGACAAAATGGCCGCCGTTCGTTCTCAAATAGCGTAAAAATATGGTATATCAAGGTTTTGGACCCTATAGAGGTCACAATTTTTATCCGATTTTGTTGAAACTTGAAATGTAAGTTTATAACCCAGGGATCTCGGTTCCTTTCAATATTCGCGCATATCGGAACGTAACTTCCTGAATTATGGCCCCTGATTGTACGAAAAATCACATTTTTAGCTTGTGGACCCTATAGAGGTCATAATTTTTATCTGATTTAAAAAATCATATTATTATATCACCGTTACACCCTAAGGACGACTGAGTTTGAATTTGGCCAAAAACTGACAGATAAAATGGCCGCCCTTCGTTCTCAAATAGCGTAAAAATATGGTATATCAAGGTTGTGGACCCTATAGAGGTTACAATTTTTATCTGATTTTGTTGGAACTTGAAATGTAAGTTTATAACCCAAAGATCTTGGTTCCTTTCGATATTCGCGCATATCGGACCGTAACTTACTGAATTATGGCCCCTGATTGTACGAAAAATCACGTTTTTAGCTTGTGGACCCTATAGAGGTCTTAACTTTTATCTGATTTAAAAAATCATATTATTATATCACCGTTACACCCTAAGGACGACTGAGTTTGAATTTCGTGAAAATCGGCCAAAAACTGACAGACAAAATGGCCGCCCTTCGTTCTCAAATAGCGTAAAAATATGGTATATCAAGGTTGTGGACCCTATAGAGGTTACAATTTTTATCGGATTTTGTTGAAACGTGAAATGTAAGTTTATAACCCAAAGATCTTAGTTCCTTTCGATATTCGCGCATATCGGACCGTAACTTACTGAATTATGGCCCCTGATTGTACGAAAAATCGCGTTTTTAGCTTGTGGACCCTATAGAAGTCATAATTTTTATTCGATTTAAAAAAAACTATTATTATATCACCGTTACACCCTAAGGACGACTGAGTTCGAATTTCGTGAAAATCGGCCCAAAACTGACACACAAAATGGCCGCCCCTCGTTCTCAAATTGCGTAAAAATATGGTATATCAAGGTTGTGGACCCTGTAGAGGTCACAATTTTTATCCGATTTTTGTTAAAACTTGAAATGTAAGTTTATAACTCAAAGATCTTGGTTCCTGTCGATATTTGCACATATCGAATTGTAATTTCCTGAATTATGGCCCTTGATTGTAGGAAAAATCACTGTCGTTTTAGCTTGTTTTCTATCCATCTCTCGAAAATGTGGGCGTATCCTGCCTGGCAGCCGCTGGTTAATTCCTGGAACTGGCTTTGGATTTGGACATATTTATATTAAGATTCATATTGAATACTTGGATGATATGATGATTTTCATTATTAGTTGCCAATTGGTGAATAAAATTCAGAGTGAACAACCCTTCAAACGAAAGCCGACAAGTCCAGATCTGCGCCTTCGTGGGAAAGATTAATTTTGGTCACGGCTCTGTAACGGCGCGGTCGTGGGAATACACCAATTTGGGAACAGAGAATGGGTCATCATCTCGGGATAGATTCAGATATTTAATGTACCATTGTTATTTATTGACTATTTAGCTGGGGTAAGCTGTTTTTACTAAAATTGGTTTCGATTATTCCTGTTTTTATACACCCACATTTTCATGTGGACGTATTATATCGTCGCCCCTGTTTGTCCGTCCGTCCGTTCACAATTTGTTTGTGGACACTCTACAGGTCACAATTTTTATCCGATTTGACGAAACTTGAAATATAAGTCTATCTCCCAAAGATCTCCGTTCCTGTTGATATTGGCATGTATCGGACCATACTTCATTGATTAGGCCTCTGATTGTACGAAAAACCACGGTTTTAGCTTGTGGATACTCTAGAGGTCACAATTGTCATCTGATTTAAATGACTTGAAATGCGTATTTATAACCCAAAGATCTTGGTTCCTTTCGAAATCGGATTGTAACATACTGAATTGTGGCCCCGGAGTTCGAATTTCATGTAAATCGAACCAAAACTGCCGGACAAAATGGCCGCCCATTGTACGCAAATAGTGTAAAAATATGGTACATCAAGGTTGTTCATCCGATTTTGATGAAACTTTGAATGCATGATTATATCCTTTCGATATTCGCGCATATCGGATTGTAACTTGATTGTATGAAAAATCGCGTTTTAAGCTTGTGGTCCCTCTAGAGGTAACAATTTGTATCCGATTTAAAAAACCGTTTTGGTATATCACCGTTACACCGTAATGATGGCTGAGTCCGAATTTCGTGAAAATCGGCCCAAAACTGCCGGAAGAATGACCGCCTGTTGTACGGAAAGAGTGTAAGAATATGGTATATCAAGGTTGTGTACCCTCTAGATGTTACAATTTTCATCCGATTTTGATGAATGCATGTTTATATCCAAAAGATCTTGGTTCCTTTCGATATTCGCGCATATCGGATCGTAACGTCCTGTCCTGAATTATGGCCCCTGATTGTACGAAAAATCGCGCTTTTAGCTTGTGGTCTCTGTAGAGGTCACAATTGTTATCCGATTTAAAATTAAAAACGTTTTAATATATCAACGTTACACACTAATGATGGTTGAGTTCGAATTTCGCGAAAACCGGACCAAAACTGTCGGGACAAAATGGCCGCCCCTTGTACGCAAATAGTGTAAACGGACTTGAAATGCATGTTTATAACCCATGCGTGTTCCTTTCGATATTCGCGCTTTTAGCTTTTGGTCCCTGTAGAGGTCACAATTTTTATCCGATTTAAAGAAAACGTTTTAATATATCAGCGTTACACACTAATATGATGGTTGAATTCGAATTTCGGGAAAATCAGACCAAAACTGTCGAACAAAATGGCCGTCCCTTGTACGCAAATAGTGTAAACATCTGTTATATCAAGGTTGTGGACTTGAAATGCATTTTTATAACCCATGCATGTTCTTTTCGATATTCGCGCATATCGGATCGTAACTTCCTGAATTATGGCTCTTGATTGTACGAAAAATCGCGTTTTGAGCTTGTGGTTCCTCTAGAGGTCACAATTTTAATCCGATTAAAAATAATGTCTGAATATATCAAAGTTATACACTAATGATGGCATACTCCTCGCAGTGTTTCGTTTGATTAGAGCTAACCCCACTACTCACTGCTGTAAAGAAAGCAAATTCTTGTTCTAAATTATGACTGGTCAATAGTCCGATTAACAACCAATAGCTAACTGTGTAATAATACCAAACAGAGCTCCAAATTGGACCAAATATGTTTACATAACGTTACGCCATGACTCACGATTTTATTATGCCCAATTAAACCAGTGCATAGCAGAATATTGCAGAAAAACTAATTGTGTGACAAACAAGGCTATCAACTGTCAACACGAATACAATGTAAACAATATTGTTTTGAGATGTACAACAGTTTCACCGT